AGCGACCCCTTTACTTGTGGGGAAACCGAGGCTCTGGTGGGCTTTGACGGTGAATAGAGAGCCCTGAGTGTGAGAAATAATCCCTTGACAGGTGGAGAAACTGAGGCGCTGATTTGGGGATTTGGGGGATAAATTGAAAGCCCCAAGTGCGGGCACTAAATCCCTTTACAGGTGGGGAAACTGAGGCACGGAACAAGGATGGGGTTGGAGGGGAACAGAGAGCCCCGAGGGGGAGAAGTGACCCCTTGACAGGTTGGAAAACTGAGGCACAGGACAAGGATGGGATTTGAGGAGAGATATAAAGCCCTGAGCACAAGCCCCGACCCCTTTATAGGTGGGGGGAAACTGAGGCACGGAGCCACTACGGGGTTTTCCCAGGGTTGGTTTGGACATCAACATTTGCACCCCAGGTCCTGCAGCCCCTCACACTCTGCAAAGGGCCAAATCCTGTCACCCAAAGGGGACAGTGAGGACAGCAGGGTGGTCAAATCCTGTCACCCAAGGGGGACAGTGAGGACAGCGGGGTGGCCAAATCCTGTCACCCAAAGGGGACAGTAGGGGGGTCAAATCCTGTTCCCCAAGGGGGACAGCAGGGTGGTCAAATCGTGTCACCCAAAAGGGGACAGTGAGGACAGCAGGGTGGCCACATCCTGTCACTCAAAGGGGACATCAAGGTGGCCAAATCCCGCTGATCCAACCCTTCCTCGGGCACAGAGTCGGTGCCGAGCCCCCGGACCCGCAGCCAGCTCCTGGCCAGCACCGTGGAATGGTGCAACCTGACCCTGCAGTGCCAGGGCTCCGGGAAAGGCGCCGTGAACGTCACCTGGAAGCGCGACAGCCTCACCGGGGACCTGATCCCCGACCGCCACCAGCTGTCCCCGGACGGGACCACCCTGAGGGTCAACCTGCCCCCCACGGCCGCCAACGTCACCTACGCCTGCACCGTCAGCAACCCCGCCGACCAAAAAGTCGCCCTGTTCGACCTGCAAACCATCTGCCAGGGCGGAGGTGAGACCCCCTCCTCGGAGGTGAGACCCTCCCGGGGGTGAGACCCCCTCCCCGGAGGTGAGACCCTCCTGGAGGTGAGACCCTCCCGGAGGTGAGACCCCTCTCCCCGGAGGTGAGACCCTCCCTGGAGGTGAGACCCTCGCCCCGGGGCACCCGCGAGCGTTCCGGGGGTGGGCACAGCTCAGGGTCCCCCCTCTCTGTGCCCCCTGCCAGGGGGAACAACGTCCTTCTCCACCTCGGGGTACATCGTGCTGACCCTCATCCTGCTGGCCGTGAGCCTGGGGGGGGCCTTCTGGTGCTGGAGGATGAACAGCGAGAAGGCATCGGATCCAGGCAAGGGGAGACCCCCCCTCTCCCCATCACCCTCCTCCCCGAGGGGTCTCGGAGGGGCTGGGGGAGCGTGGAAGGGGCTGGGGGAGCGGGGAGGGGGCTCGGGGAAACAGGGAGGGGCTGAAGGAGCAGGGGAGGGGCTGGGGGAGAAGGGAAGGGGCTGGGGGAGAAGGGAAGGGGCTGAAGGAGCAGGGGAGGGGCTGGGGGAGCAGGGAAGGGGCTGGGGGAGCAGGGGAGGGGCTGGGGGAGCGGGAAGGGGCTCGGGGAGCAGGGGAGGGGCTGTTTTCCTGCAACACTTCGGCTCCCCGCAGCCACCACCCCCACGGTGGCCGCCGAGGAAAGCCCGTCGGAGCCCCAGTACACCGACATCGTGTGCCGGAGCCCCCCGGAAGGTAATGACCAGGTGAGGCCCCCGGAGGGGCTTGGGGGCCGGGGGTGGGGGTCCCCACAGTGCTGGGGGGGCGGATCCGCATCAAACTGGTGTCACAGCCACAATGGGGGGGGCCACAGTGGGGTCCGAGTCACCCCGGGGTCCTGGCAAGGTGGGTGCAAGGTGGGCTCTGCGCCAGGGCAGAGCGTCCCACGGGGGCTTCCCGGGGCCGGGAGGTCCCTCAGCAGCACCCCATTTCCCCCCTCCCCTCCCCAAATTTCTGCCGCAGGGCCCGAGTCACCCCGAGAATAACCAGGAGCAGAGCTCGCCGCAGAAAGCACCGGCGGCCGCCCCCGGCGAGGAGCAGCAGCAGCAGGGCCAGGCAGCGCCAGGGGACACGGCCGAGGAGGTGACATAGACCCTCAGGTGCGGGGCCGAGGGGGAGAGCTGCCCCCCAAAAACGGGCACCGCCAGCGCCGGGGGGGGTCTCCTGCTCGTGGGAGGGGGCTGAGAGGGGCTCTCTGCTCTGTCCCGCAGGCACCCGCAGGGCCGGAGCGCCGGGATCTCCTGGAAGGGCTGTAAAAGTGCGTCGTGTGCCAAATCCCAACCCAAATCCAGCCCCCCCCCGTTTCGGCTCCGGGATCGGGAGGCTCCACCGCGGGACTTTCAACCGGATGGACCCCCTTCCCCACCCACCCGCCCGCCCGCCCCCTCCTCCGGTTCATCCCCAACCTCCTTCCCCGGTGCCCTCCGAGACTGTTTTTGGGGAGCGCGATCCCGGACCGAGGAGGTGGCGGCGGAGCTGGGGGGGGGTCCCTCCGTGGTGTGTCCCCCCCACCTCGGGATGCTCCAGGATGGGGGAAAACCCCGGGATTCGCCTCCCCCGGGACTTGGCCGGGGCGGGGGGGGAGGCACTGGGGAGGGCAAGGAGGGGGGGATATCGCGGGGGGGGGGGGACCACGACGAGCCGCCCCGGGGCACGTGGACCCCCAGCCTCCAACTGCCCTCCCCCGGGGTCTCGCAGGGACCCTCCGCGGGGAGATGCCCTCGTTGGGGGGGGTCGTGGCCACCCGCTCGACCGCTGCCAAAGGGCGGTGCCCCCCCGACCCCACTGGAGCGGCCCTGGGGGGCACCCCCGGGGGGGAGGCAGAAGGGACCGTCCGTCACCTGTGCAGAGCCACGGGAAGCGCCCCCTCCCCTTTCTTCCCCTCCCCTCCCCTCCCCTCCCTCCCCTCGCTGTCCCCGCGTAGCCCGCGCACGGAGGGGGGGTCTCACCGCCTGTGTGTCCAGCACCCACTGCCACGGGGACCCCCGCCCAGACCCCCCCCGTTGTAAAAAACAGCAAATAAATGTTGGTGAGGTCACGGGGGGAGCTGGAGGGGCGGGTAGGGGAGGGCAGGGGTGGGCACAGGGACACGTGTGTGTGTGTGTGTGTGTGTGTGTGTGCACCCCGGATATGGGGGACAGGACACCCCGAATATGGGGGACAGGACACCCCAGTGCAGGGGACGGGACACCCTGGATATGGGAGACAGGACACCCCGAATATGGGGGACAGGACACCCTGGATATGGGGGGCAGGACACTCCAGATATGGGGGACAGGACACCCCGGATATGAGGGACAGGACACCCTGGATATGGGTGTCAGAATACCCTGGATATGGG